TATATTAACGAGGTTCCACTGTCCATATTAACGAGGTTCTACTGTATACATACATGAGGTTCCACTGTGTATATTAACGAGGTTCCACTGTCCATATTAACGAGGTTCTGTATATATACATGAGGCTCTACTGTGTATTTAAACGAGGTTTATCTATGTACATAAACTACTATTATGGAGTAAAATCAAGTAACAAGGTATTGTGAAGGTGCGACGCGCTACGACACAGCAGTGTGAAGATTAACCCTCCGAGTTAATCGGCAGTAGTATCTGACTGCTTGTTGTTAAAATAGGCTGCGAATTCATTTCAAATTTACCAAAAAATCAGTAACGTTTCAATATTTGTACGCGCATGGTTAATTCACCGCCTGTGTTATGCACTTGAAAGGTGAACTTGGTTAACGGCTGAATGGAAAGAAATTGCCGTATTTACAAACGTAAGACATACATTCAACTGCACTAACATCTTGTTTGTACAAAGTCTGGGACAGCATGCATATACGGTACACGTGATGTTTATGTGGTAAATTTCTTTCACATATTTTGTCTAGACTCGTGGAACAGAAAAAGCCATTGTGAAAAGTCTGGAATATAGCCAGGTCAAAGTGTCCTCTTTTTATGACGTAACCAAGTCAATCCACAGCACCAGACATTATTTAAGCTCTAAATTAATTCGTAGTCTGTTAAAATATACTGTTACCTTTCAAGTTTATGTTTTGAATTTAGTTTATGGTGATACAACTGTATATACTTTCGAGACCTTAAATGCATAAAGGAAATATTCTAGCAGGAGGTGAGGTGAAATTGGTTTTAACGTCGCGTCCGAGATTATTGCACTTACATAGCGACGTGCATACACGTGTGTGTGTGTGTGGCTGCTTGTACTAGTCCGGACTGATGCCGATTTATAGTGCTAGCCCACTGAAATACCATGCCGCACTGAGATACCATGAATACCCTACTCAGACACAGTATACTGACTCCGACCCGACCAGTCCTTGTTTTTGACCCTTAATGCCGAGCGCCAGACAGGGTAACAAGTACCATCTTTTAACGTTTTGGGGTATGACGCGGGGGATCGAACCCCGGACCTTCCCCTCTCCGGGCGGACGCTCTACCACTAGACCACGGAGGCGGTCCTATTCTAGCAGGAACAATGGGTTCATGTGCACTTAGAAAGAATATGACCCGTGAAGATATCAGGGGTAGAATAGGTCTTCAGCAAACCATGCTTGCCTTACCGGGAGTCAGGCTCGCTGACTTGGTTGATACATGTCATCATATCCCAATCCAATTGCGTGGATCGATGCTCATGATGTCAATCAGTGGATTGTTTGGTCCAGACTCGATTATTTACAGACCACCGTCATATTGCTGGAATATTGCTAAGTGCGGCGTTAAAAAACAAACCAACAAACCAAGAGAGAATATATTTTGTATTATAACAAAACACCACCTTGTGAATGTACTGCCGAGGAATGTTTCTTCACAAACCAAATCTAAAAAATGTTGAAATGGGGTTTAACGTCGCGTCCATGTTTAGTGCACTTATCTAGCAACGTGCATGCACGTGTGTGTGTGTGTGTGTGTGTGTGTGTGTGTGTGTGTGTGTGTGTGTGTGTGTGTGTGTGTGATTGTGTGTGTGTGTGTGTGTGTGTGTGTGATTGTGTGTGTGTGTGTGTGTGTGTGATTGTGTGTTTCTGCTTGTACTAGTTCGGTCTAATGCCAGTTTTATAGTGCTAGCCCACTGAGATAACATGCCACAGTTTAACATGAATACCCCACTCAGACACAGTATACTGACTCCGAGCCGACCGGTCCTTTTTAGCCCATTAATAATCAGCGCAAGGCAGGGTAACAACAAGTACCATCTTTTAACGTCTCATGGATGTTTTGACGCAGCCGGGGATCGAAACCACGACATTCCGCTGCGGACGCTCTTTACGACTACGATCAATTGTAATAAAAAATAATCAATCGTATAGTATACTTTAAAAAGCAAACAAAACTAAAGTGCTAAGTTACGAGCATTTAAGTTGAGTCTTTGAAGTATACACAAGGAGGCAAAAACTGATATTTTGCTATATTTTGCTAAATATACGATAACCTAAAGAAGGTGTGTTTAAGTGCGACGAATGCGTTTTCAAATCAACTCCATATGGAATAAGCTTGAGCGTCTGGAGTACTTTTGGATCTATAAAGAAACATCACATCATTCCTGGGACCTGAAAGCCATTACAATTACGCCGACTATTTGTGTCAGTGTGACCCAACCACAAAAATTCTCAATCTATTGTTATAAAAAGAGCCATTGTGGTTTTGATCATGCCAAGCGGTTGCACCTGGGAAGAGAGACAGACGTACCACGTGACCCGGCACTGGTGGGCGGGGTTGATGATGGGTGCCACGTGGCTCGTGTCTGAAACTCGACTTTCAAGTGTTTTCGTCGGGTTGTTTCAAAGGGACGCTATTGTGTTTAGGGTAATACCAGAGGGTTGCATCATCACATGTGTTTGTTGGCAAGAACGTTATGAAACTTGGCGAAAAAACAAGCGGCAGTCCATGTTTGAGAATATAATTCTGTTGAGAATAGTTTGCTGTTCTGTTCATACGGGTTGATTTGTGATCAAATTGTCCAGTATGAAATTAATGTTTTGTTGATGTTTTTGACAAAAGATAATATTGTATGAAGATTATGACTTTTCTACAATATACATATATATATATGTGTGTGTGTGTGTGTGTGTGTGTGTGTGTGTGTGTGTGTGTGTGTGTGTGCTGAAGAAACAGTTGATCATATTAAAATGTACAGACTTGACTGGAAATAGATCGATAGCTGTTTCAAGGTAACGCGTGTACCGACAGGAGGGATGACCTTCAACCTGTTAGGCTCTCTAATGGGTGAGGTGAGGTGAAATTGGGTTTCACGTCGCGTCCAAGATTGCACTTATATAGCGACGTGCATGCACGTGTGTGTGCCTGCTTGTACTAGTCCGGACTGATGCCGAATTATAGTGCTAGCTCACTGAGATACCATGCCGCAGTTTAGCATGAATACCCCACTCAGACACAGTATACTGACTCCCAGCCGACCTTTCCTTGTTTTTGACCCTTAATGCCGAGCGCCAGACAGGGTAACAACAAGTGCCATCTTTTAACGTATTTTGGTATGACGCGGCCGGGGATAAAACCCCGGACTTTCCCCTCTCCGGGCGGACGCTCTACCACTGGACCACAGAGGCGGTCCCCTGTTAAGTACTTACTTACTTACTTACTTTGGAGATTTAACGTGCGCTTTCCGACTGATGCGTATTTCGCACACGGGCCCGGCCAGGCCATTTAATGTGTTTCCGAAAGGGGCGAAGGTGGTCTGTGCAACCCAAGAGGGGGGTTTTAGGGGTTGCTTATATAGAATTTGGGAATTTTGAGATTTGGAATAGATGCCGATGGGATTGGGGAGGAGAACTAAGGGAGCTGGGTATGGTGGATGTTTGTTTGTTTATGTGATTTTGATTTGGTGAGTTATTGTGTTTTTAGATGCGTTTTATTAGTTCCGTTTTGATTAAGAATACGCCTAAGGCCTTGAAGTTTTCTAGTTTATTTTGTGGGTTTAGTATTGCTTCTAGAGTTAGAGCCTTGTTTAGATTGAGGGTGGTTTGTAATGCGGTTCGATGTGTTAGGTAGTGTGTGCAGTGGATGAGTGCGTGTTCTGGGGTTTCTGGTTGTTTGCAGTGTGGGCAGTTACCTGTAGTGTGTTTTTTAATTTTTTTTTAGGTGGTTATTTAGGTTGGTGTGTCCTGTTTGGAGTTTAGTGATTACTCTGTCGATTTTTTTGGATGGATGGAGAATTTTTGGTTTGGTTAGTGGTTTGCTGAGCACTTTTTTGATTTGGCTATTTGAGTTTAGATATAGGTTATGCCATTTTTTGGTGATTTTTTGCTTGTTTACACTTTTAATTTCTGATTTTGAGATGGGTAAGTTTAAGCTTATTTCTGGGATTTTGAGGGATAGTTTAGCTGCTTTATCGGCGTTTTCCTGTTAAGGATGCCTAGGGTACCTTTATACGGGGCGGGGGCGTGGCCTAGTGGGTAGAGCGATCGCTCGCCACACCTAAGTCTTGGGTTCGATTCTCCAAACGAGTAATGTGTGAAACCATCTCCACTCACTCCACTCCAACACGTGTATGATGAGCACAGTGACTTCATAGTTTTTCGGGGACAATTTGTAGACCCCCATAATGCTATTTGAAAGTTTTTGAGCGATGGAGAGTGAGTGGGAGAGTATGGTTTTACGCCGCTTTTAGAAATATTCCAGCAATATCACCGGGGGACACCAGAAATTGGCTTCACACGTTGTAGCCATATGGGGATTCGAACACGGGCCTCCGGCGTGACGAGGCTACCCGACAGCCGCTTTGCGATAGGGAGCAAAGTGTGTATGTACAGATGAAAGTTGAAAATTACTTAACTTGTTTCCAGGATAGGTCAAAATATGTAATTTTCCGTCCAATGGCAAACTGGCTGTGTCAATGAGACAGTGCAATCTAATCGTCATAGTGGACCATTCAAGGGCGACAACTCTTGATTTGATGGAACGAAATGAGGGAGAACCTTGTAGTGAGTGAGTGAGTGAGTGAGTGAGTGAGTTGGCTTTAACGCCGCTTTTAACAGTATTCCAGTTATATCGTGGCGTGTCAGCTTAATGTGGGAGGAAAGCCCGAAGTGATGCAGGTCTCAGATGTTTACCATTTCGGTGAAACCCACGAACACGGGTATGGTGCTGACGAAACCCTAGAAACATAATCGGGGCGAACCGGGATTCGAACCCACAATCATAGGTTTCTGGCGTGCCCAAGGGACGCAACTCTGCACAGCAAATCGCGGTACCTTAGACGACTGGGCCACCCGTGCCCCCGGAGAACCTTGTAGAACTCAAACCTGACTATAAACGGAATCTAAAGCTGGGCGAATTAACGTTAACTTAACGTGTCTCTGTTTCAGGTTATTGATGATATGATCTTCTCCATTGGAGGCTTCAACGGCGTCACCACCATCTTCAACGTCGAGTGCTACGATGCCAGTACCGATGAGTGGTAAGTAAATGAATGTAATTTCAGCCTGGAACAGACAAACCAGTGGCTGATATTATGAGTAACGTCCCACGCCGCCGGGGTAGGATGACACACAAGTCACCCAGTCAATAATCGCCCGATCCACTTTAGGACGAGCATAGGTTGTTTGTGACCTATTATAATTCGGATTGAGACCAGTGGAGATCCGAGTTAGAATGGGTCTTCAGCAACCCATGCCTGTCGTAAGATGCGACTAACGGAATCGGGTGATGCATGTCATCGTTTCGCAATTGCGTGGATCGATGCTCATGATATCAATCACTGGATTATCTTATCCAGACTCGATTATTTACATACCGCCGTCATATAGCAAACAAACAAATCTAATTCGGGTTGGAGAGCAGGATGGGGGGGGGGGGGGGGGGGGGGCCTTCACCCACCAACCTACCATCATTCCACCCAAGAAACAATCCACCCCCTCGACACCAGGCTCTCGTCGTGACTAGCGAACGTTTTAATCACATGGTTACGAAATGTAAATCGGCAGGACAGGACAATACAATACGGACTCGCTGACTTGGTTGATGCATGTCATCGCATCCCTGTTGCCTAGATCGATGCTCATGATGTCAATCACTGGATTGTCTGGTCCAAATTCGATTATTTATAGACCGCCATCATATAGCAGGACTATTGCTGTGTGCGGCGTTAAACAACAAACGTTTCAGGAATGCAAGATGTATAACTCGGCCCCAAAATTTAGGATATTTGACGTCACGAGCTTACGCTTTAACCACTGATGATGATGATGATGATAGTGATGTTGTAGATTTAACGAGCGCTTCCGGTGTTGCCGATTTCGCTACGCACCGCCGCTGTACTGAAGGGTATCTGTTCCCGTCGGTACAGTAGAGTGGAAACCAGTGACCCAGCTGCCCGCCCCTTCACGTCAGTTTGGCCACGGACAATGCAACGGGTCGCCTTTTGTCCCCCGGAAATTGTCATTAGGGTGATTTATTGAATGATGGTGACTCGAACGCCCTTTGGTGGCGATTCTTCTCAATAAATGACAAGCCTTGAGATGGGACATCATTTGTGGATTGCTCAGGATCACGTGATACCACATAAGATTTCATCATGTTTCATTCAAAATCGTGTTTGAATGACGTTGTAAATAGGTGTCCGATTAAAGGGACATTCTTTGGAGAGGGGTCGTGTCGTGCGTATTGCACCATAGACCGGGGAATAACAGCTTGTTTACTGTCTGGGAAGATTGTTTCTTTTTAATTTTTTTCTTTCTTAAGTACGCAGGCATATTGTATACATACAAATCGCGTTACTGAAACACTCGATACATTTTTAAACAAAACACAGCATGTTTTCAGAGGATTAGGTGCGCGGATCGTGTGAACAGTAATCTTGTATCTGCGCCTTTTAGCACGTAACAGTGTCCTTTTTTAGATATTTATCAGCGATTAAACTTGCTGTCGGTCAGGTTTATCAGGATTGAATGAAAACGGACACCTAAACTGTCATGCTTGTTCCTTTCATAATAGCCGGAGATATACGCGTTTACGTATTAATCAAATAATTGAGGTGAGGTGAAATGGCTTCAACGTCGCGTTCAAGATTATTGCACTTATGTAGCGACGAGCATACACGTGTGTGTGTTTGGCTGCTTGTACTAGTCCGGACTGATGCTGCTTTTACTGTGCTAGCCCACTCAGGTCTTATGCTGCAGTTTAACATTAATACCCCACTCAGACAGTATACAGACTCCGAGCCGATCAGTCCTTGTTTTATTTCCTTAAAGCCGAGCGCCAGGCAGGGTAACAACAAGTACCATCTTTTAACGTCTTTTGGTTTGACGCAGTCAGAGATCGATTTAGACAGGGACTCCCATTTGAATGCTTAATGGACTTTTGTTAATATAAACTCGTAAACATAATATCAATATAACTGCTACGCCAAAAAAAGTATACACTTAAATATTGGATTTGATCGGAGATTTACAAACGTTATCAAAACTTCACTGGGATGAAAACAGTCGCCGAAACACTGCAAACGAAAGGTCCAAAACACAAGTATTATACCCGTATAAAACACATCACCATCGAATAATTCTTAGCCACCATCAAACATGGGGTTTATACTTACTTTTGCCCGGCAGTTTATAAATATATACGTTAAGAAGAAGACACGCCTATCAGTTGAAACTTACACAAAATGTGCCAGCCATACATTCAGCGAAACTGTATACCATGTCCTACAAAGAAAACAACAACAATACGTAAGCACGCTTATCCTCATCTCAAGATATGAAATTAATAAATGACTTTACCTTTGCTACAGGTATGACGCCACAGACATGAACCTGTATCGAAGCGCACTTAGCGCATGCGTAGTTAAGGGTCTTCCAAACGTCCAGGACTTCATCCACAAAGAGCGCGACAAGGATGAATCAAAGCGGAAGAAGACCAACTAAGATGGACGAACTTCCGGTCACGTGGATTAATATATGAAATGTGATAACGTTTATGTGATATTGTTTATGAATTGAAATGTTTACTTTTATATAGAACGTCTTGAAAAATACCACCCTATACGTAAAGAGGCAATTGTAAAAATGTATGTTTTGCTCAGCATAATATTTTTGATGGATATTTTTGAGAGTTTGTTCATGATAATATGTTGTAAGGATTGTCGTACCAGTAGAGTAACCATGTTTCTGTTGTAGATTCTTAAATCTTCTGTCAAAAAGTATGCTATACGTAGAACTATCACTATAACACTATAACTAGAACATAGCGTAGATCAATACTTCGTAATACGATGTCTCATTAATTTATGAATAAATAATCACCTAAATACTCGTATATTATTTGTCTTTGTTTTTTTTTGCTAATATATATGGAGTGAGTGAGTGTTCGTTACATAACGAAGAGTTTCGAAAGTCGCAATCCGGCCTTAAGCTTTTATAAAGTTTAGAAGTTACGATGGATGAAGTATGTTAAAGATAGTTCTTGCCCCGGATCCCCATGGATACAACTAATTCTACAACCAATTCTACCCGGAATCTACAGTGTATACATGATGATTTGTTTTGTATGTGTTTAGGCTGAGATGAGGCGTTATAATGTCATGTAACCCTAAACAATAATAATAATAAGTGCATTTATAATGTGCCAGATTCCATTCACCGAGTGGATGCTCATAGTGCTACACTAGTATTACCCCGGTCAATGGATCAGTGAGCACTCGATTTTCATTCTCAGCTCCCTGGGGAGTATACAACCCAAGCTGCCTGTGAGGCGCTAGAAGGTTAACAGCCACATTACCATCTCATCCTACCGGGTACCCACTCACTGCTGGGTAAACAGGTTACTGCGTTAGATGGACCAGCCACAGACAATGCAATGAACTTCACTGCCATGTCCCTGAAACATGTGAAACCTAATGAGCAGCCTGCCCGCTGACTGGTGATGGTGGTCGCAGGGCGGAGGTGAAAACACTAAAAAAAGTACACTTCTAAATGGGGAAAAAGTTAGTGAGTTGGGTCGGACGCTGCTTTGAACAGTTTTCCAGTTTTATCGCGGCGTGTCAGCTTAATGTGGGAGGAAAGCCCCAAGTGAAACAGGTTTTAGACGTTTCTCACTTTGGTGAAACCTGCGAGTACGGGTATAGTGCTGAACGACCTAGGAATATTATGAGGCGAACCGGGACTCGAACAAACGATCATAGGTTTCTGGCGCGCCCAAGGGACGCAACTCTGTACAGCGAATTGCGGCGCCTTAGACGACTGGGCCAACTGATAAAAAAACTGAACTGAACGTCTGTGATTGTTTAGAAACAAATTAGTTAAATTAGTCCGCTGATGAAAAACGACATTATAAGAAGCAAACATGTGATTCATATAAACTTTTAGCAAAATGTGACGTGATCGAGATCCCACGCAAAGGCTTCACGACCGGAAACAGATGACGTCACGAAGCTAATGTCCCGGCGACTTCAGTGCGATCGCCTCATAACGCAGCAATCTATTCGAAGTGGGAGTGAACCACAGCACAACTACGCACAAAGCAACATGAAAGTGTACCAATTGTATCATTTACAGCGGCACGAAAACAACATCCTAGCATCCACGACCGTTATGGGTCAGTGCCATCGGGTCCTATTCATTCCCGATCCCGCAATACTGGCTACACATTTCTGTGTGTTAGAGGTTGATCTTCAGTGTACGTACACCCTAAGGTTGGCTATCCAATGGCGAGAAGCGACATAAGGCTGATCAAACGACCCCGTGAATGGGGCTAATGACTTGCAATGACGTCATCGTCTAATTACCAGTATTCCAGTGAATGTGGTTCAGTGAGGGTAATTTGTCTGGCTTGCTGGACCAGGAGCCAAATTCTTGTGCGAAGTGTCATATTGTATTTATCACGTATTCCTTCTCTATCCCACAGGGATGTCGATTACCAACGTAGATTTCTGAATGAACGCTTTTGACATCCGGGGGGCACGGGTGGCCCAGTCGTCTAAGGTGCCACGATTCGCTGTGCAGAGTTGCGTCCCTTGGGCACGCCAGAAATCTATGTTTGTGGGTTCGAATCCCGGTTCGCCCCGATTATGTTTCTAGATTTGTCAGCACCAGACCCGTGCTCATGGGTTTCACCGAAGTGGTAAACGCCTGAGACCTGCATCGCTTCGGGCTTTCCTCCCACATTAAGCTGACGCGCCGCGATATAACTGGAATACTGTTAAAAGCGGCGTTAAACCCAACTCACTCACTCACTCACTCACTACAAGGTTCTCCCTCATTTCGTTTCATCAAATCAAGAGTTGTCGCCCTTGAATGGTCCACTATGACGATTAGATGGCACTGCATCACTTCGGGCTTTCCTCCCACATTAAGCTGACACGCCGCGATATAACTGGAATACTGTTAAAAGCGTCGTAAAACCCAACTCACTCACTCCCTTTTGACATCCACACGGTGTCATTTCTAAGAGTCGTGCCATGTTCTGTCTTATTTTTCGGGTGTAGACATCTCTTGGGTGTTAGGGTTTGGGCAGAATGCATAAGCTGCCATAATGATATGACTTGACCAAATTGCATTTTTATGTCAAGAGAGCTCATTTCATTTCTTGTTTGTTTCATTTTTAGTCACCATCAAACATGGGTGTATACTTTCTTTTGCCCAAAATCTAATTATATCAAGAGATTAAACATCTCTATTTGAAACCCTAAAGCTTTATACAATCTTATGAGAGTAATGGCATTAATTCGACGTAATGTTTCATTGGCGTCGAGCTTTGGCTGTGGTAGACGATGTTCGAAAACATTTTTTTTCTACCTTTTCTGAGAATCTGTTGAACCAAATGTGTTACAACGCATCATAATATGTCTGCCACACAACAATGTTGAAGATTGGCACATATCATGAGGCGAACAAAGTTCAAGGTCATGGGATTTTAAATGAAAAGTTAAGATTTTGATTTCCTTATTTACATATATCTCAATATATATGTCCTGCCATATCAGGTGCACGTGGCAGAATGAGCAGAATATATCAGGATACTTCTGCAGGTTTTGAATTCATGTCCAGGTGAGCTACAGTGCTAGAGCACTATTTCACCCATATTTTTTACATTGGTTAAAGTTAAATTATGTATATGTGGTAAAAACACAAACTATCTGTGGTCGACTGAAAAATATTTGATGTTGCAATGTTAATGAACAATACGTTCATAAGCGTACATGTACATATTTCGATGTTGATGCAAGAACGACACGGGGAAGTTGAGCCTTTGCAAAATGAATGCAACTTCAGGTAGACATCACTCCGCGTCTCATCGTTAGTAGCATCAGCCATAGCTACCTGTCCCCCCTTTCATCCCCTGGCGACACGGGTCAGTAAGTCGTCATTCGCACACCAAAACAAGAGTAACGTACGACATCGGATATCAGATCGTACGATATTCCTGATGAGCTACCGCGTATTCTCCTCCCTGTTCATTGGCCCCCGCGAGCGAGGCAGGACACCGCCATGAATGACGTGACGTCATAGTACACGATAATGATTGATGTATTCCTCCGCGAGGGGCGGAGCCTAGAGATGAATGTAACACCCGCAATCCAGACACATAGCCACAACATAGTTCAGGATACCACCCACATCGCCAAAGCGAGTCTGTATTCACGCCATTTTATGGTTTCAATTGTTAATGTACTTGTTTGAGATGTCAGGGGCTTTTTCGGTTAAAGGCCATGTTGAACCGAACTAGTGCAGGTGTGAGATTCAGCCATGTCTTTTAGACCCAGACGTGGAGTAGCGTAGAGCTCGTCTAGACCCAGTCCAGGTGATCACGTGTTTTGGCCTGGGAATATTATCAAACACTGATGTACTTGACGACTAGACGAGCTGACTGCCAATTGATCATAAGTACGGTGTGAGAAGGTGTTAGATTCCCTTCGAGAAATTCGCTTTCAGAATCAAACGGGATTTGTTTTGATAGTTTTGAAAAACAATTTCATGTCAGGTATTATTGGTTCATTAAGAAAAGATGAGAATGGATGTTTGGTTGCTTGTTTGATTATTGGTTAACGCCGCACTCAGCATTGCTCCAGCTACATGACGGCGGTCTTCAAAAGTCGAATCTGGCCCAGACAGTCTAGTGATTGACATCATGAGCATCGATCCACGCAATTGTGTTACCGTGACATGCATCAGCTATGTTACTGGTCATACATGTACGGATGAGAATATTTGCAACGTTTGTCCAGGGGTAGGCAGACTGTAATGCCCCAAAAAACGTTAATAGATGGTAACGCTATAACCCTACCTGGCGTTAAGTATTAAGGATATAAAGCAAAGACTGGTCGGCTCGGAGTTGTTCAAACACGCACGCAGGCACGCACACACACATGTGTAAGTAAGTGTACGTGCGATAATCTTGAACGCAACGTTATTTCACCTCACCACCTTGTTTAGAGGTACTTAACAACAGTTTGGTATAAGGAGTGTGAAATGTAGACAGGGTTATTTCACAGCGTAAGTCATAGTTCATCCTCGATTACCCAGGGCAGTAACTCTCCTGTCCATTATAACAAGCATTCCTGGTCCTTTCGCTTCGTCATAAGCCCCATTCAAATAGTACGACGATGAATGGAAACGTTATATCAGAAACGAAGCAGTGAGTGGGTCAAGGGTATTTATCATAATGGACTGGAGATATAAAACCCTTGACAATCGAGGAAGATCTCAGTAAAATTTAGATTTCACACAGAACACTAATTACAATGTCTAACTAAACTACCGGACAAAAGAAAGTATGCATCACCCTTTATGGTGAAAATGAAAAACCCTGCAAGAAATGGTTATTCGATGGTGATGCATTTAATACGGTTATAACAGTTGTATTGTGGACCTTATGTTGGCAGTGGTTCGGGGACTGTAACGTTTTGAAAACGTTTGCAATGTTTCTTGTCAAATCCAATTTGTATGTGTGAACTTTCTTTTGTCCAGTAGTATATATACTACTCAAAAGAAGTTAAAGAACACACAATTTTTTTTTATATGACTATAGTTAATCTGTCAAGGCTGGTGATATTTTAACACATAGCCTTCTAATTATGGCTGTTCTTTAACTTGTTTTGAGTAGTATATGTTATGATGATTGTAGTTCAACGCCACTTTGACAGTATGACAAAGGAAGAGAGTCCGAAGTAGCGCAGGCTGCATACGTGTACGACAACGTGGACACTCACGGACACAAACATGGTGCTGACCTGCCAAGAAACACCCTGCCAGATGCCATAACCCAGCCCCCAGCGATAATATCGAGATGAGGAATACAACAACTGTCAGATACTCTCA